CAGAGGATCAGTTTAGTATGCATTAAGTAAAGATTTCAACAGTTTGCACCCCCATAGAAACACAAAGAGTTTTCTTGTTGAATTTGTTGTACCAAGATAGAATTTCCCTAGAGCAGACAATAAAATGTCAATATATGATAGGGATAAACCATTTTAGTTTTAATACCATAGAATTTTAGAGGTTAAGGAAACACTCAAGTTATTTATTATAGCCATGTAATATACCATTTTATGCATCAGAAAATTGAGGCCTAAGGAAAGCAAAATTTGAACTAATGATTAGTGATACAATTCCTGTAAGGATCTTATTCCTAATGAGTCACACAATCTGCTCTGTTGGTTACCTATGCGTGGTAAAATAAAATTATGTAAATCTTCTAGAAGATTTAGCCCTTATTTTCTAATAAAGTGAAGAAAATAGGGAAAAGTAGAGACATATTTTAGGGATTGTTGCGGAACCAACCAATAGGGGGAGGGGATATTTTGATTGGGATGAGCTCCGTGAAAGCTATTCTTGGGATTGGCACCATGGCTCAATGGATTAAGCTGCAGCCTGCAGTGCTGGCATCCCATATGGGTGCCGGCTTGAGTCCCAGTGACTCCACTTGTGATTTTTCTCCCGCTAGTGTACCTGGGAAAGCAATGGAGGATGGCCCCAGTATCTGGGCCCCTGCACCCCTGTGGGAGACCCAGAAGAAGCTCCTGGCTCCTGGCTTCAGACTGGTACAGCCCTGGCCATTGCAGCCATTTGGGGAGCAATCCAGTGGATGGAAGATTGCTCTGTCTCTCCTTCTCTGTCTCTGTAACTCTACCTTTCAAATAAATAAATAAACCTTAAAAAAGAAAGCTATGTTTCAATTAAGTACAACTATTTTAAATTAAGAAAAACACCATTGTTATTTTCTACCAAGTCTTTTAGAGAAGACAGATGGTCATGGCAAGTTATAAAATAAACTAGATTTTAACCAACATATAACATTTAAATTCTCACCATATAGACAATCTCGCTCTCATTTTAATATTTTTATTGAAGAACATGCACAATATTGAAAACCAAGCAGCATTATCTAAGAACACATTGCATCTTCAAACTGCCAGTATGTTTCCTCTTGAACACTTTACGCAATGCCTTGAATCTTCTAATAATCGTTTAAGTGTCTGTAAATATTAATAAAAGTTCTTATATTTTCCTCGAAACATTTTGAAGTTTTTTTCTGTGCTGCTTTTCTTATGGAACTTGTATCCTTCTGCCATTTTTACAAGATCTTCAGGGACATTTTGATTTGCTCGTTCCAAAATTTTAATCAGTTCATCAGCGATCTTTGCATCATTTGGAGTAACAAGGGTAATCGATGTTCCAACCTTTCCCGCTCTTCCAGTACGTCCTATCCTGTGTACATATTCTTCAATATTTCGTGGGAAGTCATAGTTGTAGACATGTGTGATGTCATTAACATCAAGACCCCGAGACGCTAAATCAGTTGCGATGAGTATCTTCACCTTTCCGGTTCTGAAGTCTTCTAGAGCTTGCTCTCGATCACTTTGTTCTCTATCACCATGCAGTGACTCTATGGGTATGCCTTGGATGCCCAAATCACTTGCTAAGTCATCAGCAGTGATTTTTCGGCTGACAAACACGATGACTTTGTCTCTGGGTGTCATGTTCTCTAGGAATTCTTGTATAAGAGCACGTTTTTCTTCTTCTGTAGTCACAATTACATTCTGCTGCACTGTACTTACAGCAACCAGATCTAGAGTACCAACGTAAACCATCATAGGGTCTTTCAGGTAAGAGTGTGCAAGTCGGCGGATGGCATCCGGCCAAGTTGCACTTGTCATAACAGTCTGCCGGTCTGGGCGCACATCTAGTAAAATCTTCATTATTTGATGTTCAAAGCCCAGATCCAGCATTTTATCTGCCTCATCCAAGACCAAATAGGTTATGCTTCTTAGGTTGACATGGTTATTCAGTTGTAGATCATTCAATCTTCCAGGAGTTGCAATAATGATATCTACACCTTTGGCAATGTCTTCTATTTGTCCCCTTCTATTTCCACCACCATATATGCAACTACTTTTAAAACCTTTATATGAGTACTTAGAACATTCACTTTCTACTTGAAGAGCTAGTTCTCTAGTGGGTGTAAGGACTAGCATGCCAGGTCCATTCCTTTCTTCTCTAGATGTTGGTTGAGAATCAAGATGAATAAACCCAGGCATTAAGTAGGAGAGTGTTTTACCAGTTCCAGTTTGGGCTACCCCTATAAGATCTATCCCTTGTAGAATAACTGGCCACGCCTGTGACTGAATTGGTGTTGGCTTTTGAAAACTTGCCTTCTTTATGTTTCTCATAAGCTCAGGATACTGCGCGAACGCATCCTCAAATGTACAAGTTGGTTTGGGAATTGGGCGCTTTTCACCATCTCTCAAATCTTCACAGGTTATGTTAAAATTTTCCTTTCGCCATTCATCTACTTGTATTTTAGACATTGAGCTTGTAGCTTCTGATTCTATATAAAAGTTTTTCTTAATTGGTGGTAAATCTGCCCACTTCCGTTTCTCCCACTCTACAAATTGCATACGAATTTGGTCCCAATCTAACAATGGCCGAGCTTCTCGAGCGGTGTTGCCTGAACTTGAGCAGCTTGTTACAGAGGATTGGGATGTGGCAGGGCCAACACTGGATTCTGAGATGTACCTTTCTTGTCTTCTAACCACAGCGTCTATATCTGCTTTGGCCTTTTCTTTCATGTCACTACTGCCAAAAATTTTTATTTCTGAGTCAAAGTCCCCCTTTACAATTTTTATTTTAGTGTTTGTCACGCGTTGTAGATCTTTTAATTTTGATCCACCGCGACCAACTATGGCACCAACCACGTTGTTTTTCAGTTTAAAGCAGAGGGGTGGTTCGTAGGAGCCTGAGGCCCCCAAATCACTAGCAGGGCCCCTCCAGCTGCTGCCACCACCGCCACCGTCTCTGGCCCTGCCTCGGCCTCTGCCAACCCCGCCATTTTGGCGGGCCCCAAGATCTCCTGAATTAGGCTGTGCCCTCTTCTGCTCTGGGGTCCACGGCATATTAGAGTAGTGGTGGTACCGGCGCTGGCCTTTGGCCTACATACGGTTAGAAGAGAGCATGTCTGCGGGCAGCACACCGGTTGAGAAGTCAGGTTTGTGGCCTCTCTGTCCGCAGGCTCCGTAGCAACAGACAGCAGTTACAGAGGGCACAGGGGGAGGGCCTTGGCAGTTTGACCAATCACAAAGCCAGGACCAAGTGATGTAAGCAGGCATTGATGATGTAGTATTTAAAGAGATACTCTTAGGGAGTGGCCCTGCAGGTGCTTATAGCACCCTGGGAGTGAGTGCCTCATTAATTTTTGTGCCCTGGGTGCTTCATTCAATTTCCTGGAATTAGTTATGGCTCAGCTTAGGAGAAGCCTTGAAGCAGGGCTTGGCACTTTTCTTAGCGCCCCTTTTTTCCCCTTCCATATGATTTCATAGCTACTAAGATCTTAGCAATGCAAGGTTATGTGTAAGTCATTTATTAGGTACAATGTGGAAAAAACCATGGTAGCGATCTGGACTTGCGGGCATTTAACTTATATTAAAACAGTTCCAGGGCTGGCGCTGTGATGCAGCAGTTTAAAGTCCCAGCCCACAGTGCTGGCATTCCATAGGGGCGCTGGTTCGAGTCCTGGCTGCTCCACTTCCAATCCAGCTCTCTGCTATGGCCTGGGAAAGTGGTGGAAGATGGCCTGAGTCCTTGGGTTCCTGCCCCTATGTGGGAGACCTGGAAGATGCTCCTGGCTTCGGATCAGCTCAGTTCTGCCACTTGTGGCCATTAGGGGAGTGAAGCAGTGGATGGAAGAGTTCTCTCTCTGGCTCTCTCTCTTTTACCACTAAATAAAAATAAATCTTAAAAAAAATAAAACTGTTCCAGGGACTGGTGTTGTGGCTCAGCAGGTTAAGTCACCACCTGCAACGGCGGCATCCTGTGTGGGCTCTGGTTCATGTCTCAGCTGCCCCACTTCTGATCCAGCTCCCTGCTAATGTGCCTGGGAAATCAGCGTGAGATGGCCTAAGTACTTGGGTCCCTGCCACCCACATGGGAGACCTGGGAGAAGTTCCTGACTCCTGGCTTCAGCCTGGCCCAACTCTGGCCTTTGTAGCCATCTGGGGGCTTTGTAATCATTAGCAGATGTGTAAGATATCCCCCCACCCTCATCTCTTTGTAATTTTGCCTTTCATATAAATAAAATAATTCTTAAAACACCACATAGCTCTAGAGGTCAGGGGGCTTTGTTCATCACGGGGCTGCCCACCCGATTATGTGGCCGTTACAAAGGTAATATTGAATTGAAATGCGCTGCCTGTTGCATCCTTAGGTCTTTGTTCTGACTGCCGAAATGACACAGAATAGGTTCAGTTCCCCCTGTAATCCCATGTACTTACCACTGTTTAATCCCCTTCAGGTTTCTCTTTATCAGGGTAATAGTCCCAGTTACTTCAGCATCATGGTCTATGACATGGTTTCTAAGATGTGCATCATTTTGTTCCCAGGATCTTACATATCTTTTATAACACCAAGAACTAAACAAAGAAATGAATTCCAGTATTAGGATATCTTCAGTGAACTTGATAGTTCTACTAACTGACCTAAGGAATCCTAAAACACAAAACTGCTCACAGTAACAACACTGGTATTTAAGTTCTCTTTTTTTTTTAACCTGTACTTACTGTGTTGATTATTTTGTTGTACATTTGTTTAATTAGGGGCAATTGTTGGGTGCAACAGTTAAACCACCACTTGATAAGTGTGCATGCTGTGTCAGTGTCATAATGCCTGAGTTTGTGTCCTGGCTCTGCTCCCTGCTCATGCTGATGTACCCCTAGGAGTTAGCTCATAGCTCAAGAGTGTTGGTCATGGATCCCCATGTGGAAGATCTGGGCGAGTTTTAGGTTGATGGCTTCAGCTTGGTCTAGCCTGGTCGTTGCAAGCATTTGGGGAGTGAACCAGTGAATGGGAGATTGATCTCTCTCCCTCCCTCTTTCTCTCTCTCCCCCTACCTTTCAAATAAATGCAAATAATTAACATTTGCTTAACTAAGAGTAGAGTACGTATCTAATTTATTTTCATTGATATGCCCTATTATGATTTTAATAATTATTCTCTCATGTATATTATATTCTAGTTTTAAGTGTTCTGCAAATTCAGTAGCCATAGCATCTTTTTCTCTTTGGCCAAAATTGTTGACTAAAATTTAAACAGTATCAAATAGAAGTCTGTGACAGGTGGGAGAAACCTTCTCTGTGTCATTTTTCCTGAAAGATGCTTTTCGAAGAAAGTGTAAAGGTTGCTGGCTAAATATATTTGTGAGATACAGTACTGCATAGCCCCTGTTAAAGCAACAGCTCTCGGTAGATATTATAGAAGCTTTGATAATTACAAGCCTTGAAGAAAATGAGTCATTTAACCCAGAGTTTCCCAAATGAAATTCCCAGTGGAACTCCTTATCTGTTTTTCACGGAGATTTTTTTCTTAGGAATAATGTTAGATTTCTAGAACAGTTACACAGAGAGTGCAGCAGAGTTCCCATATACCCCTTAACCAGTTTCAGCTTCCTCTAATTGTTGTCACCTTCTGTTATCATGAAATATTTGTCAACTATAGGAAATCACTCTTGATAATTAACTAAGCTCCAGACTTTATATTACTAGCTTTATATTGATGTATTTTTATTTTAAAAATTATTTATTATTTGAGAGAGTTGGAAGGGGAGGGGAAACAAAGGAACTTACATTGATGGTTCATTCCCCAAGTGCCTGCAAAGGCCCTGGGCAGAAACCCGGAGGACCAGAAGCCCACACTGCATTTGGTTCTCACATGTGGTTTATGAGGCTTTCTCAGACTTTATTTTCATAATCTTGCAACTTTTGAGAAATAATGATCAAAATTTTTGCAGAATGTTCTTCACATTGAGTATGCATGAAGTCATTTATTATGATTAGACTAGGACATTGAATTTACGGGGAAAAAAAATCACATAGTGTCCTCCTCATGACATTATATTGAGGAGGTGGCGCCTGATAACAGCATGGCCCATCACTGGTAATATTAATATCAGTTACGTGGTTAAGTAGTGTTACTCAGGTTTTAGCCACTGGGAAATTCTTTCTCCCTCTGTGTATTCTGTTTTTCACAAGTGAGCCCCTAAATCCAGGTAACCCTCAAAGGCCCTGTTCCTGTTTAAATGTAATTCTTATTAACATTTTGTACAACTAGTAACTTTGCTGTAATATAATTTGGAAAACACTGCTCTGGATAAATACAGATTATTTAACCAATGTGGGTTTTTTTCCCATTTGGCTCAACTAGATGTATTTTGAACAAATCATATCAAAATTCCTCTGTACTTCACGGATTATAGTAGGAGTTTTTAAAGCATTCCCAATGTCTTCTAATTCATTAATTATTCAAAAATGAAATTTGTTTAGTGAAATGTGATTTTTTACATGATGAAGAGTGTATTTCTATGTCTAGTTTTTTTTTTTTTGCTTTTATCTTTACTTTGAATAAAGCCTGATGTTAGCAAACAATGGAATATTAGAAATGTTGGAGGTATTGGAGGTCATACTGTTCTTTCCTATAGAGACAATGAAATTGATGTATTAAAATAGTTCTGGACTCTGCTAGGGCTGCTCAAATCATGGAGAGTGTAACTCTGAAACCATTTCTTGCCTTGTGGACAAGGAGTGTTCCTCAGATACCGTGAAGTGACTTGCTTCTACTTCTGCGGTTTATGTGGGTGATAAGAAAGAGCAGCAGAGTTCATGAAAGTGAAATGAAGGAAGGCCGTACTGTTGGTAGAGGGCTAGTTGTAAAGTCTGAGTACAAAGCAGTACACTTTAACATGGGACCCATTATGATGGCGAGTTACTAGGTTGAAACTAAATCAAAAGATTTACATGGTTATTACAGATACTGAGAGGAGTGTCCTTTCAGAGTTATTTGTGACTATTGTAATTGACCTTACCAGTTAGGAAAACCATTGGTCACCTAAATTAAGGCCCAGTACAATGATATTCTTTTCTCCATGTATCTCTAAAATGAACTTATCTTGTGTGTCTGAAATGTTCCCATTAGATATATAACGTTGTGGCTTGTAGCTTGGTACCTTATTAACATGCTCTTGAAAAAACAGAAGACAAGAAGTGCAAAATCGTCATTTAGAGGATTCCTAGTGACATAGTGGGATAAGAGATTATTATAGGGCATAGGGAGGCAAAGAAGGAAGGGACTGAGTTTCTCTTAAAGATGGGTAAGTTTTATACCAAGAAAGGAGAAAGGTGATGAGAGTATATTTAAGGCAGTCTTCAACACTTTGCTTAGAGGGATGCCTGGTGCAATACTTTTCAGTTATTCTAATTTCCCCCAGTTTTCCTTTTGCTAAGTTAATGCCAAGATATTCTTACAGACTGAACTCTCTGGGTATGTGTATATATATATATATATGCACATATATACACACATATATGTATATATATATATTTGGATGAAATGTATCTATCATAACATCACTTAAGATGTGGCTATTGTAGCAAAAGGTGTCGTCATCATTCACTTATTGGTGTGTTTATTTTGTACACAGGACTGTGCTACCCTGTAGAGTCCTTAGTGTGGGGAGGCACTCAAGCAAATGAGAGCCTAAATAACTGGGTTCAAATCTCACTTCAACCATTTCTTCATTGTGAGTCCTTGAGAAAGTTCGAAACTTCTTATGCCTTAGTTTTGCTAACTGTAGATGGAGATACTAGTACTCATTTCACACAAACACACACACAAAGCTATGTGATTGATTCATAGGAGAAACTCTCCAAATAACAATTGTCTATGTTATATAAATAATAGGTGTGGGAGACAATTATGGAGGTTCCAAATGCCTAACAATATCCCTGGTCGTTTACTCTGACCTATGTCAAAATGAAAGAAATTAAGGATAATTTTTTCCACAAATCTAAATTTATTCAATTTAATTATTTTAAAAAAATTAAGATTTATTTATGTATTTGAGAGGCAGAGAAAGAGAGAGAGACAGACTGACAGACAGATAGGTCTTCCATCTGCTGGCTCACTCCCCAGATGGCTGCAATGGCTAGAGCTGCGCAGATCTGAAGCCTGGAGCCAAGAGCTTCTTCTGGGTCTCCTACATGGGTGCAGGGGCCCAAGGACTTGGCCATCTTCCACTGCTTTCCC